TATAAGCTGAATCTATTAGAGTTTGTATGGCTGAATTACTCTCACCTTAACAAAATGTCTACGCTAAAGACTAAATCTATGAGGTTCAATAACCTTATCAGAATTTATACATTATAAGTTGTATCTACTAAGTGTTATTTTGTTAAATAGCTCTTCGATCCTCAGACAAGTTTAATCAAATCATGGACTCTTGCTAATCTGATCTCTGTTCCTGATGCTTTCAACATTTCTACAGTTGTCATATCATTTTCTGGACATTTATTATTCTTAATTCTATTAACTGTCTCAACGATTTCTTCACTATCTGTTAATGTTATGTCTTTATATAGCTCTTCATGTAATTCTTCTTGACAGAAATCATTTAGATACATAGGATCATCTCCATTTAATGTATCTTGAAAATATGATTTCCACTTCATTAATTTGTCTTCGTCCTTTATAACTTTATTGCCATATTCATCCCTAATTACATCATAAGTGTTTACTTTATTATCTTCTAGTTGTTTGACTAATGTATGAACTTTTTTCCGCTCTCCTTTGTTCACTGCCTCTTCTGCTTTTTAATGGTAATATCTACGTTAGTCTCTTCAAACTGTTCTTTGAACTTTTTTTGCCCTTCCTTTATGAAGATATTTTAAAAAGTTCCTTCTATCTATATCCGTACAACTTCTTATCTTGATCTTCAGTTGCTTTCTCTCATCTTTTAATTTGCGTAATTCATCAGAGATCTATTCCTATTTTAGTTTGTTACAACAAACCAAGATTGCTATAAAAGCAGTAACGCAAGTTTCCTAAAATTTTGTCCATTTTCCTTCAACTCCCTATTCATCACTTATGATATTGTTACGACAGCTGAAGTCACGTGACGCTGCTGGCGCGTTGGCGCTGGTGGGCGTGCGTGATAAGTTTCTTGAATGATCGGGGAAGTTCGCGTGTGTTCGAGATGCCCTCTTCGTAAGTATATAAGCCTGGCACAGAAAAACAGCATAGATAAATGAAGAGAGAGCAGTAGCTACTTTGAGTTCCGTGTAATTTATGATTCTGATAGTTTCGAGTTAGTGAGCCGTAACATGTGTGTTTTGCACTCGTTGAGAGAGAAGTTATCGATATTGTGAATCGCTGTGACATATAGCGTGTATTATAAAAGTTGTTAAGTTTAAAGTGACGAGAAATGTACTGATTGTGGAACTTCTGTGTAGTAAAAGTTTGTATCGAGGAAGAATAAACTGGTTTAATCAAGAAAGGACTTTTATCCCTGAAGATCCTCGGAAAGAATTTCTACCTGAAACAAACAAACAAGCAGATACGTAACAATATCTAATACTTGAAACCTATTTTGTAAACCTAACTAAAATTCAGCCTTTACTTCTAGATTTTTTTTAGCTTAGCAGAATCAAAAATTATAGGCATTATTTGCACTGATTTATTTTTATATTTACAATTACCAAACAGTGATCAATATTTCTTACGTTTACAGATCTAAGTGACTTGACATCATGCAGGAAGGATCGATGGCTATATGGTCTATTGCATTTACATTTGAACTGTCAGAACTTCTCCATGTTTCTTGATGAATTTCTCGGTGTTAAAACAAATTACCACCAATAATAAAACAAATTTCTTTGAAGCATCCCACAAATACGAGATATTAATATTCTGTGTCATCAGTCCAAATCTACCAAGAGAAACCTCAGGATCAACATCAGCATTTATGTTTTCCATTCATACTTTAATATCTCATTCTGGAGTTTCATGAAATATATCTCACAGTCTAAGTCTTCTGTTGGCGCATAACAAATTACAATACTTCATTTACTGTTTATTGGCTTAAAACGTGCAGTCAGTAATCTCTCTTATACATGTTCTAATGTCAACACACTCACTGCAGCAAAACAAAGCTACTCTATTTGAATGTGTATCATTTCAACCGGAAAACACAACTTTTATCTTTATTCTTCAACTGGCCTAGTCCAATATATATACATTCAGTAACTCTCAGAATACCAAGATTATACATTATTTTTTCACAATGTATTCTTTCTTTACTGTATCCCAAAAACTCCGAACTTTCGAGGCATTAAACTCCATGCAATACTTTGAAGTAGTAAAGAGGTTCATCCACGACAAGGCTTTCTTTCGGTCTAGACTTGCCAAATCATACACAATTCTTCCCCTTCTTACATTATATCAGAACAGGGGAGTTCGTGTCCTAGCAAAAAGGCAACTACTTCTCAAAATAGACTTTACCTCATTAGCCGAGAGAGTGATTAGCCCACAGCACCTGAGTCCAGTCACGCCAGGCTGACTGTATATGTGTGGTGCTAATGTGTCACCCAAGTGGGCGACGGGTCACCACTTCCCTAAGATGTTGTAAGGCTGAATTAAATTCACCTTAACAGAAGGTGTACACTAAACATTGAATCTGTCATTTTTACGCCTAAGATGTAATGTGGCTGAAGTAGATTTACCTCGATATATTGTGTACATTGAAGCCTGGAATTACTCGTTTTTGTCATTAACGTAAATTCTACACTAACTACGAGGTGTTTCACGAGTGAATGCCTTTCACCTAAACACAACGTCTATATTATAAGCTAGAGTTGCTGTAGAATCACTGAATTTCATTCACTGCAACAAAACGAGGTGTTGTATAGCTGACTTACATGCACCACAAAATATCATCTATACTAAAGGCTTAGTTTATTCGGGTGATCTAGAGCTGAATTACGTTCACCTAAACACAACTTTTACACTAAAGGCTGAATCAACGAGGTGTTGTATAGCTGACTAACATGCACCATAAAATAACATCTATACTAAAGGTTAGTTTATTAGGGTGATCTAGGGATGAATTACGTTCACCTAAACACAACTTTTACACTAAAGGCTGAATCAACGAGGTGTTGTATAGCTGACTAACATGCACCATAAAAATAACATCTATACTAAAGGTTAGTTTATTAGGGTGATTTAGGGCTGAATTACGTTCACCTAAACACAACTTTTACACTAGAAGGATGAATCTACTGGATAATTTGGTTCTTAAAAACTTTGGTAAATTTTTCGTTCATTCACCTTCAATTACTGTACGTAACACACACATATTCAAACTGTAAAATGTAGTGCACTCACAATTAATATATAGAACAGCAACCACTAACATTCTGACAAATATTTACATAACACACATATTCAAACTGTAAAATGTAGTGCACTCACAATTAATATATAGAACAGCAACCACTAACATTCTGACAAATATTTACATAACACACATATTCAAACTGTAAAATGTAGTGCACTCACAATTAATATATAGAACAGCAACCACTAACATTCTGACAAATATTTACATAACACACATATTCAAACTGTAAAATGTAGTGCACTCACAATTAATATATAGAACAGCATGAAATGAGTATTTTAGCATGAAATAAATGTTATATAAAATGCAAAACTATCGACTTTCGATGGTATTGTGTACTTGGGTAAAAACATTCTTGCAATGCGTACGTTGTACTTTTAGACAACTAATTAGCACCCATAATTCATTCTACCGGGAACAAGCAGTGGCTTAATAATTAACGTGCTGGTCTGTGGATTTGAAATTTAAATATTTCAGCTGTGGAAACTTTATAAATGTGACGGTCGATACCGCTATTCGGCTCAAAGTAGGTTTTGGATGCTGTTGACTAGTTATCCTACTTCAGGTCAGTAGTTGTAAATTAGAAATAGCTCTGTTCTAGCCTCATAGGGTGTTTGACCTCGTTGTTTAGCCCATGTGTCACATATGGTGTCGGTGCCGTTCGGGTTGAAAATACAAAATGTTCCATTGGCTCTTTAGGATTTTAAAATTAAGGAAGAAAGAAAAATGAAAAGGTAAAATAGTTTGTTAATCTGCCTTACATAATTTTTTAGAACGAGAGTTTGTAATTTATTAAAGAAGGAGAAATGCAAGCGGTGTTTTGCTAATTAAATATCAAATTTGTGACTTTTTGCAATGTTAGAGCTTCTCAACAACTTACACAGGCCAGTAAATTTCCGAGCATTGCATTTAAAGTTATTGCTGCAGTAAGACAGATTGCAAATTGTTAACTAATTTCAATAGAATGAGTTTTAAAAGAATATTTTAAACACTTTGACCCTTTTGCTTGTTTTTTAAATGTTAGCAAATTAGATAAAGTTTTTTTGTTGTGTTTGTCACTAAGTTTTTGCTTTCTTGTTTCTATCGAAATCTGTATAGAATATTTATCGTTTAAACACTTAAAACTAGCGAAGTATTAAATGCCAATAGGATTGAAAACTTTTAACGCCTGTAATTTTGAATCCGATATGGACAGATGAAAAAAAATCTGAGTGAAAAAACAGCTGCAGCTTACTCTATTTTATAAAAAGTTTTAGGCCTGTATAGAATGTTTATTTTTGCACCCTGATGGCTCAGGTATATGCTTCAATGATTATGGCGCTAAAAGTTGGGGTTTTATCCACTCAATGAGCACATCACACACAGCCCATTAAATAGTTTTGCCATAAATACAAATGTATATGTATAAATTTTAGAACTTTTTTATTATTTAACTAATGGACTTTTAAAAATATAATAACACCTTCGCAAAACAAACTTAGTGGTATTATTTCAAGATTGTAACTGACATCAATGTTACATGACCGGGATCCAAGTACGGAACAGTACTGAGGTGACTGAATATTCATAAATTTACAATTACACTTGGCAGGTAATTTATGTAAATCAGAATTCAAGCAGAAATTATTTTGATATGATAAAATTCATAATAATCGTTTTATAAGTTAATTCAATGTTCTTTTATGATCAATAGCAATAGATCTAAAAAAACATTTTTTACTTTTCGAGCCCGTAAACAAAAATGTTAAGCAATTTGCGGTACTCCGTAATCGCATCGCTATGGAGCAAACAGCTTTGCTAAATACTTGGAGAAGCAGACATCTAGCGACGTGTTATGAAACATATTGACGCGTCTGCCAAGATGGCTGTAAATCGAGCGGCAACTATGTTGTTCTATATTTCATTGATGAATTTTCAACGTTCTTTTTGAAATACACATGGTGAGTGTAATTATTGAAATATTTACTTATATATCATATTTTTCTTTTATTTCTGTATTAAAAATACAATGTATTTATTTTTATAAGTACCTTGTTGCTCTAGTTAAACATCACGAGCATTTGGCGGTTTGCTAGTAAATTGGTGCTCTCCGATTGGCTAGAATATGGCGGGTAAGTCGCCCGGTAATCTCGTTTATTTCAAAATTACGGGCAAATGTATAACATATCGGGTAGGAATTTCTAACAGAATTTCACGGCATGTAGACTTTACCACTGAAGGAGATGTAAGAAACATACATCGTTCTAAGGAAAATATTTTCTTCCTTAAGTACCAAAAGTAGGTATCATTTGTTTTCTTAAATTTTTGCATAATACTTACCAAATATTTAGAAGTTTTAAATCTTTGCTTCAAGTTCAAATTGCTTGCTACTAGTACCATATTAACATGGTCAGTGTTACTACTTTTACTACTAGTAGTACTAGTACTTGTGTAGTAGTACTACTGAGTACTGAGTGATATTGATAGTAAGAGTATTAAAATGGGGCTCCATGAGTAGATGTTTGCCATGTGCATTATTTATATTTAGATTGACTTGAATAATCAAATATATTAACAATGGTTCCAAGCCTAATAATAATACTTTTAACTTCACAATCACTATTTCTGTTTCAGTTTGTGAAAATTAAGCCTACATAACTATTAGTATTATTTAAAAAAGTTTATAAAACGTATATGCTGTCTTAATTACTACTAGTACTAATACTATTACTAAGTACTATACTAAGACTAAGAGTACTGGATATTGTTGATACACGTTAAAATTTAAAATCTATTGTGATGAATGCATCACTTTGAAATAATGAGTAATTCACAGGACAGTAAAATTCATTGTTCGTATTTTTGCTGTAGTGTAGCTTATTCCTTAAAACAATGAACACAATTTAATGTAAGCTTATTGTATGTACAATGTTACCAAACTTAGCTTGAATATGTATATGCAAACCATTTTGTGTTACAACTTAGTACTACAATTATTGATAGAAATATAATGGATTAAACTAAGTCAACTTATTTTAAAATTTGTCTGTAATCAAGGTGATTATTCTTTGAATCTAACAATATACATCATGAGTTGAAATAAGCACTCATTAGGTGAGTAAAAATTGCTGTAGTGTAAACATTTGTGGAAGATTGCAGATTATGATAGAGTTTAGTGTGTCAAACTCAAGAAGGCTTTCTTGTTATCATTCTAATGTTAGAAATAATAGAAACAAAACTGAGTCTCTTGTTGGAATAGAGAATTTTGATGTTTTGGGAATTAGTGAGATTTAGACTATTCTGATAATAGAAATCTATTTGAAATAAAAGCTATAGGTATTTAAATAGTGATAAAATATTTAAAAAAGGGACGAGGTGTAGCTTTCTATGTGAAGCATCAACCTCAACAAGAAAGATGAATCATTATACGTATGTTAGCAGATATAGGGACAAAAGGCTTTTAATTGGAATCTGTAATAAACCATCTGATCAGATTGATGAAATTAACAAGAAACTATTACGTAATGAGATAAAAAAAAAAAAGCTGTAGCTACCGAGATTTTAATCATGGGGATTTTTATCTTAAACATATTGATCGGAAGATTCTAGTGTCAAATTATTTTTTTTTTCATTCTATGGTTAGGGAACCTGCTAGGGAGGATGCTATTTTAGACTTACTACTAACTTCTAGTGTGGATATGGCCAATAGGGTGGAAGTAGGGGCATCTGACACAAGTTGTACTTGTACAATTAGATTTGAGGTGGTATTACTTATGGAGATCAAGAATAATAGTATATTGGTTCCATATCTTGGGAAGGCTAATTTTGAAGGGATGAGAAATGATTCTGACCAGTTAGGATACTGAGTAAGATAGAGATGCTTGTCAGATGTGGGAGGTTAAAGTTGTTAATTAGTCAAGATAACTATTTTCAAGAGAATTAAAAAAGGGTAGTTGCATGTAACAGATTAGGGGGGCTCACTAGAAGTATTAGGTAGAAAATTAAGATATACATTACAAATTCAAAAAAGAAGCTTAAGTTAACTACTAAAATGGAAAACTTGGAGGATTATACAAGATCAAGACAGTTAGTTAGAAAACCAAAAAAAGCATATAAAAATATCTGAAAATATTGATATTAAAAGTAAGGATTTCTACGAATACATTAAAGGTAAGCATAATGTTAACGTAGGAATTAGACCTTTGAGGGATTGAAAGAGGGTTTGTTATAGAAGATTATGCAATGGCAAAATTCCTAAATTTTTATTTGTCTTCAGATTTCACTGCAGAAGATTTGACCATATCCTGAGATATATGATAAATATATATGAACTTAATATTACCCTGAAATTATTAATAAAATTGATAAGTTTAAAAATAATAAGCTGCAAGGGAAACAGGGTTCTTAAAAGTCAGCAAACCTCAAATCAACCTATCCTAATGGCTAAAGATAAGACATATATATAGGTACATAAAATGTAGATAAGACATATATATAGGTACATGGAATGTAGATAAGACATATATAGGTACATGGAATGTAAGAATGCAGTATAATGCAGGCAAATTGGTGCAACTGGTTGGAGAGTTGAACTGTTGGTTGCATATTTTAGGTGTGAGTGAGATGTGTTGGATAAGCACTAACTGATGTATTTCTAAAGATGTAACAACTGTAATTCCAGAGGAAATACTCTTGAGCAAGGCATAGATATATCAGTAAATAAATACACTGAAAGGGCCTTGCTGTCCTGGGAACCAATAACTGACAAAATTTACAATAGTACAGGTATACACTCCAAAAGGTTTGGTGGAGGATGCATTTATAGATCTGTTTAATAAACAACTTCAACATGTAATAGATGTTGCTTCTAGTTATGATATGAAGATTATTGCTGGTGACTGCCATGGCCAAATTGGTAATGGTTGCTGTGGATGGAAAAGTGTGATGGGTGTTAATGCTACAGGTGAAAAACAAACAGTAGTGAACATTTTTTGAATTTGTGTATCAACAATAACCTAAAGATTGGAGGAAGTATGTCTAAGTATGAAAACATTCACAAGCTCACCTGGAAATCACCAGAGTGCCATACTATGAACCAGATAGACCACATCTATATTTCAAGAAGATGTGCTTCCTCATTACAAGATATGTGAGTGTTTAGAGATGCAGTCTGTGATCACTTCCTTTTAGTAGCTACATTAAAGATAATGCTAAAGAAAATTATTGCAACAGAAAAAGAAAGGAGATTAAACAATAAATTTAAAAGATCATGAGACATGGACAAATTTTAAAGTGGTACTAAAGAACAGTTATAGTCTACTGTAGAACGTAAAGGAAAAGAATATAGGTAAACACTGGAAAGTAGCTATGCTTGATGTTGTTGAAGAAGTAATTGGATTCAAAAAAGGAACAAAAATGGAACAGTGGATTACAAACTTAACATAGAATGCCATTGACTAAAGAAAGGACAATTATGTTTAAGCAAAGTAAAACTGCAAATGGAAGAAGTTAAACTTAAATGGTAGTATAGAAATATGGACAAGGAAATCGAACAAAGATGTAAAAGAGATAAGAATAAATAGTGCTTGAGTAAAGCCATTGAGGCTGAAGAAGTTGTGAAAGAAGGTGATTCAAAAACACAAAAATGACTTAGTTCTGTCTGGTAAAGGTAAATTATCAATGGGACCAGTCAGAGATTCCAAGAGCAATATAATTAAAACAATGAAGAAATCTCTAAGCATTGGAAAGAAAATTTTGAAGCAATTCTGAATTGTACAGAACTGACAATTATGCATGACTTTAGTAATGCACCAATTCTAGACATTTTTAAAAAAAATAGCAATATAACCAAAGAAGAGGTGAAGAAGATTGTCAGAGAGTTAAAAAAAAGCAGCAGGTATGGATAAAATCTATGCAGAATTATTAAAAGCAGGAGGTACATAAGTTATTGACAGTTTTTTGTAATAGAGTGTAAATTGAAGGAGAAGCCCACAATGATTACAAAAATTGAATAATCATTCCACTGTGACTCCCAAAAAATGAGTGATTTGAGACAATGCTCAAACATTTGCTTAATGTCAGTGTCTGGCAAAATGATGACAAGTTTTACTGAACCAGATGAAATAAGCTGTAAAGTAATGCTGAGACCAGAATAGGTAAGTTTTTTTATCAGGACAGTCTTGCTGTGAAAAGATTTTTATGTTGCAACAGATAATTAAGAAATCTCTTGTATATGGCAAAGACCTTTGATAATTAATTACAATGACCGTAGAAAAGCATTTGACAGAATTGAGAGGAAATCTATGTGGAACAATACTAGGAGTTAGGGTATACTTGAAAAGGTAGTAAATGTTGTGAAATGTTTATACAAAGACAGTGCCTGTGCAGTTAGAGCCAAGTTTGGACTAGGGGAATGTGGCTTAGATTTATCACTGGTATTAGGCAAGGCTGAATCTTATCTCCATTGTTGTTTGTCAGTAGAAATGACTGGGTGATGAAAGAGGCAGCATCTAGCCCAGGAGTGAAATGGACAAATGATGAGTACTTACATAATTTGTACTTTGCAAAGTATATTGCTATATTGGATTCATCCTGGATAGGAAATGCAGAAACAACAGCAAACACAGAAATAGAAGTGAGTAAGGTTTGTCTCACTATTAATGAAGACAAAACAAAAATTATGAAGGTTGGAATAAAGTCAAATGAAATGAGAATTCTGATAAGATGTAAGTCAATAGACAACATTCAGGAGTTTTGTTATATTGGAAGTATTGTATAGAAAATGCAACATGGAAATTAAAACATGAATAAGTAAAACACGCTTTCTTGGAGACCTTCACAACATTTGGAAAAACAAGGGATTGAGTTTGCAGACAGAAGTGAGGTTGTGTTAAGTAGTATTATAAACAATGCTATGTGGATGTAAAATTTGGATGCTGAATATGGTAAATTCAACAAAGCC